CTGGGTTAGGACATAGGAAAAATCTGTCGCAGGAGCCATCCATCCAGCTCAGCACTGGCCTCGCTCCCTCCTGGCCCGGGCAGCACAGTCCGTGCTCCCCGAGGGCCACTGCTGCAGGTAGGTCAGAGCCCGAGGGACGCGAGGTCCCCCAGTACCCCGAGGCAGGCCCTGCGTGGGGCCCGGGCTCCTCCCCTCAAGCTGTGTGCCAGTCCCCGACCCACCGAGGGGCCAGCCTTACTTTCCGCTACTGTGGCCGCTCTTCCCTCTCTTGCGGGGGGGCGACAGGGCGCTCGGGGCGTGGGTCCGTTTCCGCGGCCTGCCAGGGCCTCTGCGTGCCAAGCTTCTATGGGGTTCCTCGCGCCTGTCCCTTAAAAAGAATCACACGCTTGGCTGTGACGCTGGGGTTCGGGCGGGACGTGGAGAACGGGCACACGACGCACACACGGCGTCGGGTCCACGCACACCTCGACGGCTGCTGCGCGCCTGGGGGCCTGGCCGGCTGGGGCGGGGGCCCCACGGGGTGGGCGGGGGGCACACTCACTCGGAGTCCCGGCGGCGCTGCAGCTTCACCAGCTCACGCTGCTTCTCCTTGTACTGGCGCTGGACCTCGGCCAGCCGCATCCGGAAGTCCAGCTCCAGGGCGTCCATGTCCTCCAGGGAAGACTTCATGGCGTACATCTGGGGGAAGAACCGGGAGAGGAGGAGGGGGTGAGGACGCCACTGCCCAACGACGCCCACCGCCCACCCAGGTGCCCCGAGGAAGGGGAGACGGCACTGGGAGCTGGGGCTCGAGTCCCACCGCTGCCACCTCCTGACTGAGGCCATGGCCTCATCGTAGGCAAAGGACCCTGTGCTGGCTCTGCGGGGCTGTGACAGAGCTCAATTAGATGGCATGCCTGAAGCACAGCACTTGCGTATGACACCTGCTCCATCAGTGGGGGCCATTGTGTCATTTATAAACGGAGGCTCAGTGAGGGGATGCTGCAGCCCCAGGCCCCGTGGGCACCTAAGGCCAGAGCTACATGTGACCCTAGGCTACTCTCTTGCCACTGGATCACACCGCGACCTGTATGATGTGCCCGACATGCTAGCAGATGGGTAAACTGAGTCCCCGAGAAGGGCAACCACTTGCCTGGGACCACATAGAGTGTCAGCACAAGGAGCTGAATGTAGCTCCGCCCTCTCTGGTGCCAAAGCCAGCCACGCCCGAGCAGAAGGGCACCTCCACAGAGGGGACTCCCACTCGGCCTCAGCCGGCGAGCCCCAGGGAGGAAGCAGCCGGCCACTCACCCGCTCCTCCTTCTTGCGCATCCAGCTGTACTTCTTGTTGGGCTTTAGCTCCCGCGGGAGCCGCAGGTTCTTGAGCGGGTCCACTACAGGCCCATCCAGCACCTCCCTCAGCATGTGGCTGCCTGCTGCCAGCAGACTCTCCAGTGAGGGCCGGGCCACCAGGGCCCGCTCCGCACCTGCAGACAGGAGGCAGGTAACAGGGCGCTGCCGCCACCCCCCTACCCGACCCCAAACGGGGATGGCAAGGCCCAGAGCAAGCACAGGCCCCAGGCCACACGTACCCATCCCCTAAGGTGCTGAGTGGACAGAGGCCTTTGTGACATGCCGGAAGTCCTCAGCATCTCTCAACAAGAAAGGGGGAGAAGGACGGGCACAGTGGCTCATGCTTATAATCCCAGCACTTTGGCTGGCTGAGGCGGGCGGATCACCTGAGGCCGGGAGTTCAAGACCAGCCTGGCCAACATGGGAGAACAGTGAAAACCCATCTCTACTAAAAAATAACAAAAACTAGCCGGCTGTAGTGGCACACGCCTGGAATCCCAGCTACTCAGG